CACAAAATCCGGCGTCTCCATAGGAAGGGGACTCCCGCCTGAGACTTCCTCACAACTTACTCACAGACGAGCATCCACGAAGCAGGAGCTGACAAATGATGACGGTTTCACAATCTGGCTGCCCCGCTGGGGTTACTAACGTGATCTGGCAGACCCATAAGGGAGGGGTTCCCGCCTGAGACTTTCTCACAATTCACTCACAGACGGGGCTCCCGCTCGAGACGTCCTCCAGACCCACGCCCCAGGAACCCAACAACTGACGACAGTGACCTGCTCTGGATGACCCACTCGGATCACTAAGATGATCTGGCGGGCCCCATAGGGAGGAGGCTCCCGCCTGAGATTTTCTGACAAGTTGATCACAGACGAGGCTCCCGCTTGAAAGCTCTGCCAGATCCACGCCTCCGGACTCCACGGCTGACGACACTTACACAATCTGGATGAATTGCCTGGGATATAACATGACCTGGGCTCGAGCTCGACGCCTAAGCTGGATGAATTGCCTGGATGGGCCGACGCCCAAGCTCGAGCTTGGGTGTCGGCCGTGCGATTGTGGCACATGTAATGCATTTTTCCCATCTCTGCTAGCGCACCGTCTGGTGTAAGGCTTCTGACTGACTGACTGGCGACCCACTACGATGGGGACTCCATAATGAAACTCCCTTACAACTCACTCACTGACGAGGCTCCGGCTTGAGACTTCCTCAAGATCCACTCCTCAGCAACCCAGAAATGACGACAGGTACAGGATATGGACGACCCGCCCGGATAAGTGACATGATCGGGCAGCCCCATAGGGAGGGGGCTCCGGCATGAGACTTCTTTACATTTCACTCACAGACGAGGCAACCGCTCGAGACGTGTCAACAATTACAATGTATGGATGACCCGCTAGAATTAGTAACATAATTTGGCGGCCCCATAGGGAGGGGGCTCCAGCCTGAGACGTCCTCGCAAGTCACTCACATACGAGGCTCCCGCTCGAGACTTCCTGCAGATCCACCCCTCCGGAGCCCAAAAGTGACGACAGGTACAGGATATGGATGACCCGCTCGGATTAATAACATGATTTGGCGGCCCCATGGGGAGGGGACTCCCGCCTGAGACTTCCTCGCAAGTCACTCACACACGAGGCTCCCGCTCGAGACTTCCTCCAGATCCACGCCTCTGGAGCCCAACAATGACGACAAATACAGGATATGGATAATAGCCGGAGTGCAGTATCCCCAAACAGGGTTTTTAGACCCACTGCGGTTTCCAAGGTCGATTGCGTGCCCGCCTAGTGCGGGCTGGCATGGCATGTTAAAACATGCCTCCTCCTCCTCCTCCTCCTCCTCGTCCACCTCCTCTTCATCCCGAAAGGCATCTCGGAACCCAGAGTTGCGAGGATGTCTCCAGCGTAACGGGCTGGACCACCTCGCGCGCGGCATTTCGGACCCCAGAGTTGCGACGATGTCTCGGGCGAAACGTGCTGCGAGGAAGTCTCAGGCGAAACGGGCCGGACCACCTCGAGCGCGGCGTCTCAGAGCTCCGAGTTGCGGGGGCCTCCTGGTGCCTCCTGGGGCCTCCTGGGGACCTCCTGGGGCTTCCTCCCGGGCCTCCTGTGGCCTCCTGAACTCCACCTGAGGTTTCCTGAAGCATCTTGGGGCTCCCAGGGGGGATATCTAACCTGTGGCCGTTTGGGCCTCTCCAAATACAGGGGGGGGCCACAGGAGCAGGAAAAATCAACGAATCGACACCGGATGTGTATTAACTTGACACGTTCTGATAGAGGGCCTCCTGGGGCCTCCTGGGAGCCTCCTGGGAATCTCCTGCGGACCCCTGGGGCCTGTCCTGGGCGTCCTGCGGCCTCCTGAAGCTCTCTGGGACCTCCCCCTCCTCCTGCCTGCTCCCTCATGCACATCATCCGCCTCCTCCTTCTCCCTTCCATCTCCTCCTCCTCCTCCTCCTCCTCCTCCTCCTCCTCCTCCTCCTCCACCTCCTCTTCATCGCGAACGGCATTTCGGAGCCTAGAGTTGCGAGGATGTCTCCAGCGTAACGGGCTGGACCACCTCGCGCGCGGCATCTCGGACCCCAGAGTTGCGACGATGTCTCGGGCGAAACGTGCTGCGAGGAAGTCTCAGGCGAAACGGGCTGGACCACCTCGAGCGCGGCGTCTCAGAGCTCCGAGTTGCGGGGGCCTCCTGGTGCCTCCTGGGGCCTCCTGGGGACCTCCTGGAGCTTCCTCCTGGGCCTCCTGTGGCCTCGTGAACTCCACCTGGGGTTTCCTGAAGCCTCTTGGGGCTCCCAGGGGGGATATCTAACCTGTGGCCGTTTGGGCCTCTCCAAATGGAGGGGGGGGGGGGCACAAGAGCAGGAAAAATCAACGAATCGACACCGGATGTGTATTAACTTGACACGTTCTGATAAGCGGCCTCCTGGGGCCTCCTGGGAGCCTCCTGGGAATCTCCTGGAGACCCCTGGGGCCTGTCCTGGGCGTCCTGCGGCCTCCTGGTGCCTCCTGGGCCTCCTGGGGACCTCCTGGAGCTTCCTCCTGGGCCTCCTGTGGCCTCCTGAACTCCACCTGAGGTTTCCTGAAGCATCTTGGGGCTCCCAGGGGGGATATCTAACCTGTGGCCGCTTGGGCCTCTCCAAATGGAGGGGGGGGCACAAGAGCAGGAAAAATCAACGAATCGACACCGGATGTGTATTAACTTGACACGTTCTGATAGAGGGCCTCCTGGGGCCTCCTGGGAATCTCCTGGGGGCCCCTGGGGCCTGTCCTGGGCGTCCTGCGGCCTCCTGGACCTCTCTGGGGCCTCCTGAGGCTCGCAGGGTCCCATGGAGGATATGTAACATGTGGCCTTCTGGGCCCCCAGGCTGGACCACCTCTTGCGCAGCATCTGAGAGCTCAGAGTTGCGAGAATATCTTGTGCGAAACAGGCCGGACCACCTTGCGCACGGCATCTCAGATCTCAGAGTTGCAAGGATTTCTCAGGCGAGACGGGCCGGACCACCTCGCGCAGGGCATCTCAGAGCTCAGAAGTTCGAGGATGTCTCAGGCGAAACGGGCCGGACCACCTCGCGCGCGGCATCGGGGAGATCAGAGTTTCGAGGATGTCTCAGGCGAAACGGGCCGGACCACCTCGCGCGCGGCATCTTGGAGCTCAGAGTTGCGAGGATGTCTCAGGCGAAACGGCCCGGACCACCTCTCGCGCGGCATCTGGGAGCTCAGAGTTTCGAGGATGTCTCAAGCGAAACGGCCCGGACCACCTCTCGCGCGGCCTCTCAGAGCTCAGATTTAGGAGGATGTCTCAGGCGAAACGCTCAATCCCGGACAACGCAGAAACGAGAGTTGTGAGGATGTCTCAGGCGAAACGGGCCGGACCACCACATTTGTTTGAGGATGTCTCTGCTTAGCTTTCCCTCGGCCGGAATTAGCTTCTATCACAACAGCACCCCGTTCAGCAAGCTGTTTGGGGAATGACCCGCTCGGATGACTAACACGATCTGGCAGCCCAATAGGGAGGGCTCTGACCTGAGACTTACTGACAAGTCACTCACAGACGAGGCTCCCGCTCGAGGCTTCCTCAATTCCTCAAGATCTACGCCTCGAGAGCCCAACAACTGCCAACAATTACAACATGTGGATGACCCGCTGGGATTGCTAACATGACAGCCCCACAGGAAGGGGACTCCTGCCTGAGACTTCTTCATAATTCACTCACAAACGAGGCTCCCGCTCGAGACTTCCTCAAGATGGATGTGTGAGTGTGTGAATGTGAATGAGAATATTACTGAGTTTGTGGGTACGTGTGAGGTGATGATGACGGTGGTGGTGGTGATGGCGTGCGTGTGTGTGCGATGATGATAATCGTGTGATTGGGGATGCTCGATAGGGATAAGTGTGAATGCGATGACGACGATGACGGCTATGATGGCGATGATGATGCTGCTGATGCTGAGGATGCTTATGCTGATGATGCTGCTGCTGATGATGACGATACTGGCGATGGTGGTGGTGATGATGATGATGATGATTATGATGATGATGATTATGATGATGATGATGCTGCTGCTGCTGCTGATGATGATGATGATGGACATGATGGTCATGATGATGACGATGGTGTGATGTTGATTGTGATTGAGTGATGGTGTGATGGTGATGAGGAGCAGAGAGGGTGTGGGATAAGGTCTGCGCGGGGTGCCCAGATAAAACGCACATCCACTTAGGATGTGGGGAACAACTATTGTGTATGCATGCAGGGCGGGTCCGAATTGCCATCCGAAGCTTTTCAATCAGAACGTCAGCTGCCTTCGGAAAGTGGTGCTCTCGCTGGTGCGTTCGCCGTATTTTTATGTTCGCCGTGGAGCTTCCGTCCAACGGAACGCCGCTGCCGCCGCAGCTGTGGCAGTGGTGGTCGTACTCTTGCGTCAGTGAAAGTGATGATCCCGCTTCGGGGTCTTCTTTGATTCGAATGTCCGTTCGGAACCAAGGTCCTTCCTGACACCCGGCGGCTCTGCAAACAGAACAGGGGTCAACGCAGTGGGAAGGGATGGGCAGCACGTCAGGCATGACGCAAGCGTACCTAGCTAAACTTCTCCCCCCCTCCTCCCTTCCCCCCTCCCTCCCCCTCTTCTCGTCCTCCTCCTCCCCCCCCTGCTCCTCCGCGCCCTCCTTTCCATCCTCTCCCCCTCGTCCTCCTCCCTCCTTCCCCCCCATCAACTCCTCGCCCTCTCCCTGCTCCCCCCATTTTCCTCGACCTTCCTCCCTTCTCGGGAGGCGTGACACGTGCTCTGGGGTTTCTTAAGAAGCTTGGGGGGGTACCCCCCCGACGGGGGTCAACCTCGCCTCGTCGTCGCGCCGCGACGGGGGTCGGAGCGCCTTCGGCGCGCGGTGGCTGCCCGCGTCGGGGGTCGATGTGGGGCTGTCGGCGGGGGTGGCGCCCCTCACCCCGACGCTCATTAGGAAACTCGGAGTAGCCCCGCGCGAGCTGAGCGAGGAACGAAAAGAGAGAGAGAGAGAGAGAGAGAGAGAGACAGAGAGAGAGAGAGAGAGAGAGAGAGCGAGCGAGAGAGTCAGGAAAATCACTCCGTGTGCGACCCCCTGCGGCAGGACTACGGCTTGTCCGGGACCGCGGGGACCTGCTTCCTCTCCCCGGCGACTTTCTTCCTCAGCTCGGCGACCGCCTTGGCGTTCTTCTCGTTCACCGCGTTCAGCCTCCGCGCCTCCTCCGGGGAGCGACGGAGGAAGCACGGCGCCAGACTCAGTCACAAGGGGGAGGGTAGGGATAGGACAGGATAGGACCGATCGCGAAGCGAGGTTACGATACCTAGACCCGACGACGCGAGTCGTGCGGGGGCGGCGGGGGCGGGGGCGGCGGTCCTGGAAGTCGCGGAACGGCCGCGCGCGGCGCGGGCCCCTCCCTTCCTCCCCACCGACCCCCACACTGTCCCCGCGACAACACCCTCGGGCTCGGCCATTGACTAGGCTGCTTATATTTGGGCCATTTGCCCTCTTCAATGCAATTGAGATAGGAGGTGCGGCTGGGGGTCAGCTTCGAGGAGTCACATTCCAAAGACAAAGCCTGAATCTGCTGACTCCCGAAACACCCGCACCCCTTGCAGAAGCAAATCTTCAAATCACGATGATATAGCATCTGATGTGAAGGATGCGTCCACCCTCCACCAATGTGGGTCCTCTGGCCCTTCGGAGGAGGAGGAGGAGGAGGAAGAGGAGGAGAAGAAGACGGAGGAGGACCAGTGTAAACCCAAGACGCATCAACGATGTTGCGATGAACCCTGCCTCCACGTGCCCTCTTCGCAGGTCCCTACAAGAACATATTTTCATTGCGGGAAACGCCCCATTGGAAGACAACCATCTGAACATCTAAATCCGTGCTGAAACACTATTCCTGAGACTTCAGCGCCGCGAACCTACGTGATTGCTGCGTCCTGACAAACCGAAGACGTGCCAGAAAACAATTCCTGGGACTTTAACAGCGTGAACCAATGTGACTGTTGCGTCCTGACGGTCCTAAGTCGTGCTGGAACCATCCTTGTCCCAACCTTGCAAGTCCTGGAATTGGTTGGAGCTTTTAAGACAACTGTGGGCGGCGCTAATACGAAAACTTCACTTTGAAAACGAGCCGGCCTCCATCCGTAAAAAGAATGTGCGCGGCGCCAAAAGTGATAACTCAAATTTGAAAACCACCCGCCCATCAACCTCGAAGCTGCTGCAAACTTTTCAAAGGAATGTGCACGGCGCTGAAGCGAGGACCACATTTCGAGAAGGACCCGCCCTACATCCATAAAAGTGCTGCAAATTTCAATCTTCAAGATCATACATGGATATATCATCTCAAGCGAACCGCCCTACCGACACGTCTGGGAGTGCGGCAGGGGTAGTAAGGGTCCCCACCTACCTTGTCCTCCACCAGGTCTGGTATCACACCTCCCCTGGTCCTTCACCAGGTCTGGCGAGAGACCTCCCCTCCACCTCGACCAGACCTCCCAGGAGACCCTCGGGCGAGGTAGAGGAGGCTTCCACCAGAACTCCCCTGGCCCTCCACCAGGCTCCCCCCAAGTATTGGATCGCGGCCGTCGGACGCGGTGTCGTGGACGACGGAAGTCTCCGGGAGGACCAACGGAGGTCTCCAGCGGGCCTTCCCTGGTCCTCCACCAGGCCTGGCCTGCCTGGGGAAACCGCTGGGGTGTCTTGGGGATGCCTCCTGGGAGAGGTCTGGGGGAGGCCTCTAGGGAACCTGTTGCTTGGGGACCCTGAAGCGACAGGGAGGAATTCTTTATACGGATAAATGGTAGAGGAGGATAAAAAGGAGGAGGAGGACGAGGAGGAGGAGGAGGAGGGGGAGGAGGAGGAGGGCGATAGGGGGATGATGATAATGGTATGGTGAACGATAACGACCATTATACTACTGCTACTACTGCTACTACTGCTACTACTGCTACTACTGCTACTACTGCTACTACTGCTACTACTACTACTACTACTACTACTACTACTACAATAACAGCTACTACTTCTACGACTACAACAACAACATCAACAACTACTACTCGTATTACCACAGCAACACCAATTACTACTACTACTACTACTACTGCTACTACTACCACTATCCCAGCTACTACTACTACGACGACGACGACGACTACTACTAAGACTACAAGGACGACGACTACTACTATCACTACGATTCCTACCACTACTACTACTACTACTACTACTACTTCTACTACTACTACTGCTACTACTACTACTACTACTACTACTACTAGAACAACAACAACAACTACTACTACTACTACTACTACGACTACGACTATTACGACTACTACGACGACTACTACTAATACTACTACTACTACTACTGCTACTACTACTACTACTACTACTACTCCTACTACGCCTAAAACTCACACACATACTAATACTGCTGAACAAAGCAATACCGACTATTAATATAAAACTAATCCCATTACGAATGCCAGCAACACTACTAATGCTGATAATACTGAAAATACCTGCTACGACGGCGACGACGACGACTACTACTACTTGCACTACTACAACTACAACTAATTATGATGACACTAATACCAATGCTGATCATGATGAGGATGATGCTGATAGTGGATGGAGTAGCGTAGAATAAGAGTAGAGTAGGGTGGAGTAGACCCTGGATGCATGAACCATGCTGCAATACACCCGCCTGTCCTAAGTCCCATGCTAATACGTCTCTGCGCACATTCCTTTCCATTGCAGGCAACTCCCCTTGGGAGAGGCCTGCTGTCAAGGCGAAAATACCTTTTTGAACAACATTGCATGACCAGAACATTCAATTCCACCGGCACTCTGGGCGTGAATGGTTTAAGGAGTTTACTCTTCCACCCTCCTTCTTCCCCTTCGGGGAGAGGTGTATCACTGTTCCTTATCAACGTACACCCCCTCACCAACCCGACCAGCGACAAATCTGGGACCATACCCCCTCACCGTCCCTGGCAAAAGACAATTCAACAGACACGTTGCATCAATATATGGACCGCGCGGGCGCCCCGCGATCAATCTGCGTTGCTTTTTGACAGGGACGGCAGGGTGCAATCATATTACCTGGTGTGTGAAATGCCGACACCCTCCCGACCATCCCTGGCAACAAAAACAACACAACATGCACTTTACACCAACATCTGGATCATGTGTGGACGCCCCGCGGCCACTTCGCATGGTTTTTGGTAGGGACGGCGGGGGGGGGGGCAGCACATTGCCTACTGGGTGCAATGCCAATGCGCCCCAACTATCCCTTGCAGAAAACGATGCGAAGTGCCCTTTGCCCCAAAATCTGGATCATGCGCGACGCCCCGCGTTCACATTGCATGGTTTTTGGATGATGGCGGGGTGCTGGCATTTTGCATGCTGTGTGCAGGCCCACCATCCCTGTCAGCAAACATTGTAAACATCATTTTGCGAGGAATGGCGGGGGGCCGGGAGGGGGGCATACTGCATGCTGTGCGCACGCACATCATCCCAGTCAAACAACAAGTGCAACGTGATCGTGGGCGCACACCCGCACGCAATACACAATGCTCGCAAGCCCGCCGTCACTTTGCATGGTTTTTGACAGGGGCGGCGGGAGTGCCGACATATTGCCCAATGTGGCGCAACTGGTGCCCGTGGCGAAGCTGGCATGTGCTGCGCACCTCGCGTGCTTCGCGCACCTGGCTGGCGTCTGCATGGGTTCCCGATGGTTGTTGATGGCGGCCCCTGTCCGTGCTGAGACTCGGGTGCTACTTACGTATTGGCAGGACGGGTGGTAGTGAGCGAGACGGCTTGTTGCTTGTGGGTAGCTTGACCTCTCCCCTTCCCCCCTCCCCATGGACCTGGACGGGGCGCCCCGCGACCCATTGGAGCGTCCAAAAAGGCCTCGGCGAGAAGGCGACTATCATTCATTTTACTATGGTTTTGGACCCATTTCGGCCTCCTGGGGGGGGGCTAATCCCACCAGCCCTCTAGGGCGTGAGTGGTTTAAGGATTTTTTTTTCCAACCGCCCTTCTTCCTTTCGGGGATGGGCTTATCACTGTTCCCTATTTGTATACACCGCCTCCCCAAGCGACCGGCAGCCAACCAGGAACAATGAGGACATCATGATCACCCCCCACCCTCCCTGACAACATACCAGACAAAACGCACTCTGCCTCCACATTTGGGGCATGCGCGGCCAACCCGATGCGGCCCCCCACGCCATCCCTGTCACAAAATAATGTGAAGTACACTTTGGGGCAACATCTTGAGTCATGTTCGTGAGGCCCGCGAGCACTTTGTATGGTTTTTAACAGGGACGGCGGGGGTGTCAGCATATTGCCTGCTGCGCCCAGGGCTACCATCCCTAACAACAAACAATACAATATGTTCCTCGCGGCTAAATCTGGATCATGCGCGGCCACCCCGCGATCACTGTCAAGTGGTTTTTGACAGGGACGACGGGGGTGGTGGCGTATGACCTGCTGTGCGCAGGCCCACCAGACACAATGATGGGCACTGGTTTTCGACAGGGATGGTGGGGGCCGGCATGTTTCCGGATGTGTGCTGCCGTGTGCGCAGGCGCACCTGACACACTCTGCACGTGCCGCGAACCTGGCGCACCTGGCACGGCTGGAGTATGCGGCACACCTTGCGCACGCGGAGCACGTGGCGCATCTGGCGCGCCAGGCGTGCCTGGCACTCTAGGGCCCCAGGGGTGCCTGGCGCGCATGGCGCGCCTGGCATGCGTGGCGCACCTCGCCCCAGCGTCGCGCACATGGGATCGGTTTTGGTTCCCAGTAGCTGTCCATCCCAAGACGACTGCTGAACATGCTCAGGCTCGGGTGTTACTTATGTGTACTTATGTGTTGGGAGGGCGGGTGGGAGCGAGCTAGACGGCTTGCTATCTAGGAGGGTGTCTTGACCCCTGCCCTACACCATCCTCCTGGACCTGGAGGGGGGGGCGCGAGACGCTGGAGCGTCCAATATTGCCTCGGCGAGGAAGCCAACATCATTGATTTCACGATGGCTTTGGCCACATTTTGGCCCCCTGGGGGGGGACCTAACTGAGGAGCTCCCCTCCTTTGATCGACTCCCTCCAAGATGGCCCTAAGATGGCCTCCGAGGCTCCAGAGGCTGCCCCAAGTGGGCCCCAAGAGGCGCCAAGAAGGCCCCAAGGGGCCCCCAAGAGACCCCCAAGATGCCCCCAAGAGACCCCCAAGAGACCCCCGAGAGGCTCCAAGAGGCACCCAAGACCCCCCAAAGAGGCCTCGGCGAGAGGGCCAAATCCATTGATTTCACCAGGTCTTGGCGGCCTCGCCGACCCATGACGGCCTCAGCGGCGGCGGCGACGCGGCTCGCCACTCCCGCGCAGGCGCCCGCAGGCGCCCGCGGGCCCGCGCCAGCGCGGCGAGGGCTCCCCGAAGAGGGGCTGGGGGGAGGGGCCTCGCGCCCGCCCGCCGCCGCCGCCGCCGCCGCCAGGCTAGGCCCTCGGAGGGCCTCCGCGGAGGCCTCCGGAAGGGGGCCTCCGGAGGCCCCTCGAGAGCCTCCGCGGAGGCCGCTCGCAGGCCTTCGGAGGACCTCCCCTGCGGAGCCCCCAGGCACGACCTCCGGAGGGCCTGCGGAGGGGGCGGTGGCCCAGAAGGCGCGAGGCAGTCGAGGGGTCCCTGGGGCCATCCGTTGGAGCCCTCCTCCTCCTTCTCCTCCTCCTCCTCCTCCTCCTCCTCCTCCTCCTCCTCCTCCTCCCTCACCCCGCGCCCAAAACGACACCTCTCGGCCCTCCCCCCTCCCAGACCACCCCCGACGTCGTGACTGTTCCGCAGCGTCGACCCCCAGAGGTCTGGACCCCTTCCCCAGGACCGGCTCTTCATCCCGAGTTCTTTTCTTAACCGCCCCGAGGCCCGGTGGGGGCCCCCAGAGGTCGAAGATAAGGAAACACGTCACCGTTTTTTTTTTTTTGGGGGGGGGGGTTTGTCGCTCACAACGCGAGTACGTTTGGGCTCCCCTGACCTGAGATCCGACGTTGCGACAAAAAAATGCCACATCGCGACAACTCACGCCCGGGGCCCCGGACCCCATATCGCTGCGCCACTTTCCGCGCCGAGTCGATCTGTGAGGGTCCCAGGGCCTGGGCCTGGGCGAGAACGCCCGTTGGTAAATACTAATAATAATAATAACAACGATGAGAATAATAATAGTCATAATAATAAGAGCAATAATGCGAATACTAATATTAGTGATAGCCATGATAATAATAAAAAAGAGTAATAGCAATGCTACTAGTAATAATAATAAGAAACATAAGAACAATGCTAATCATCAGGAGAAATCACATAACCATAAACTTTTGGCGCTCCGCGCGGATTTCTTGGATCTGCGCTGGACCGTCCTCCCGGGCGCGCGCAGCGCGCCGGGGGCGGCGCCAGAGGCGCGCAGCGCAGATCCAAGAAATCCTCGCGGAGCGCCACAAGTTCCCCAATCAGAGCTTGCATCTGTAGGGGTTCTAGCGGATTCTTGTGGTTAGGTTAAGTTTGTCGCTGATTTTCGCTGCACGCCCGGGTGCCCGGGTGCTCGGGGGTGCCCGGGGCCCGGGTGCCCGGGAGGTGCCCGGGGATGCCCCGGTGCCCGGGGGTGCCCGGGTGCCCGGGCGTGCCCGGGGGTGCCCTATAGCCCTATAGCCCAATAGCCCTGTAGCCCTACAACTCTGTAGCCCTATATCTCTATAGCCCTATAGTTCAAAAGCCCTAGAGCCCCCCAGCCCTATAGCCCTGATTGGGTTTTTCTCCAGAATCAATTATGTTCATGCACTTTTTTGTTCTTCGAGTATGTTTATTTCGGTTAATGCCGTTTTTTTGTTCGAGTTTTGAACAACCCCACATCGACCCCCCTCGCGGGCAGCCACCGTGTCCCGAAGGCGCTCCGACCCCCGTCGTGGCGCGACGATGAGGCGAGGTTGAGCCCCGTCGGGGGGGTACCCCCCCACGCTTATTCAGAAACCCACAGTAGGGTTATGCCGTGTTTTTTTTTGTGTTCTTCAAATTTTGAACAGATCGCCACGCCAGGATCTCTGGGCTTACGTTGTTCTCATCGTACTTGACGACCACATCCCAGAAATAACTTCGAGCACCCAGAAAGGTATCGAGACAGTGCCGAGCGAGTATCGCCCTGTCAGGGCACCACGCGTGACAACCCTCCAGCTTCGGTACTTGCTTGGTGCTCGAAACTTCGTCTGGTGATCAAGGTTAAAATCAATTGGAACATCATAATCCGAGGAGGAGGAGGAGGAGGAGGAGGAGGAGGAGGAGGAGGAGGAGGAGGAGGAGGAGGAGGAGGAAGAGGAGGAGGAGGCGGAGGAGGAGGGGGGAGGAGAGAGGAGGAGGGAGGTACATCATAACTCTGAACTCCCCGCGTCCTCGGACGCGCCCTCGCCCGGGTGCGCCGCGCCGTCCAGGGCGCCTGCCTCCCACGCGCCCTTGTGGCAGGCGCCGTCGGCGTAGATGAAGGCCCCGGCGCCCTGCCGCGGCGGCCCAGGGCGACGACAACGGCCCCGCTCCTCCTCTCGTCCTCCTCCTCCTCTCTCCTCCCCTCCTCCTCCACCTCCCCTCCCCCTCCTCCTCCTCCTCCTCTCCTCCTCCCTCCTCCTCCTTCTACCTCCCCTCCTCCACCTCATCCTCCTCCTCCTCCCTCCCCCTCCTCCTCCACCACCTCCTCCTCCTCCTCCTCCTCCTCCTCCTCCTCTTCCCCCTCCTCCTCCGCCCTCCGCCCTCCTCCTCCTCCTCCTCCTCCTCTGCCCTCCTTCTCCTCCTCCTCCTCCTCCGCCCTCCTCGGCCCCTCAGGTCTGGGCGTTGCCAGGGAGATCGCGGCACACAGAGGGGGGCAAGGGGGGGGGGGGAGGGGGGAAGGCTTCTCACCCTGACCTTCCTGGAGGGCGACAAGGTACCACCAGGACCTCGACGTCCAGATTCCTGCCAAGGTTCTAGGCAGTCCACATAGGTCTATGGGTCTGGAGGGCTATCTTTTCACACTCTGGATGATCAGGGTAGAAGCACCCCTGCTTCTAAGAAGCCTTCCCCCCTCCCCCTACCCCATTGTGCGAACCGCCAAAAAAGATCGCGGCGCTTGTTTGTTGTGTCGTTCAAACATACAATCAAAACGTGTATTCAGGACGGGTGGGAAGGACACAAGACCCTTGGAGGCCGAACTTTGATTTTTTCGGGCGGCGGGCGACCAGAGAAAACGGCAAAGGGCGGGCCGCAGAGGCAAGACACAAGGGTACCCTAAATGAAGGCGCGCGTCCTTACTAGACGCGTTGACTGCACATACATACGTCGCCGCGCCGCTTGTTCTCGACGCGCCCAAGCGGACGAAGCCGACACCACGGCAAACCCACGGCAAACCCTTCGCTCCGCGCTCCGATTCGACGAAGGCGGCACCGCGGCAAAGCCCACGGCGAGCCCTGCGCCCGAGAGACGGCGTCTGCCCTGCCGGCCGAAACGCTCTCTGAGAGAAAAGGACGGCCGCGCGTCGGAGCCAGCGGCGCGGCGGCAGTCGGGGATGGACAGACCCCCCTTCAGTAAAACGTGGTGTAGTGAAAGCGACCAAAGGCCCAAACCTGGCGGGCGCGAGCCTGGAAGATAGCGGCCACGGCGCCCTCTCGAGAACCGAAAACGGACAATTCACTAATCGACGTGTCACTGTTGGGGGTTCTGTCCACCCCCGGGACATGTGGCTTTGCTCTCGTCTGCTCCGGACAGGCGTCCGAAGGCCACTCGCCGGCGGGGGCCCAGCGCGAGCAGCGCCCAGGCAGGCCCCTGCTCAGATGGAGCGGCGACCTCTGCAGCGAGCGGGTTCGAAATCGCCACCGCCGTGTTGTCGGCACCGATGACAGTATGTGCTTGGGCCGCCTTCAGCACATACATAATATATAGATAGATAGATAGATAGATAGAAAGATATATCTATATATATAGATAGATAGATAGATAGATAGAGATATATATATATATATAGATATATGTATATATATATATAGATATAGGTATATATAGAAATATACACATATATATATAGATAGATAGACATATATATATATATATGTATAGATACGTGGCTTTGTGTTCTGTTGCACGCGACTGCTTGACTCTTCGGCAGGACAGCCATTTTCGGCCTTTCCCAAGCAGCCTCATGGCCCCGGGGCAGTCCAGGCACGACCCAGCGGCGCGAAGGAGTCGGCCCCTCCAGGGAACAGGAAGGCTGGAACTAATTGTGCCTGGGGGCCCTGCACAACGAATAGCCCCCAACAAAATTACACCAAAGAAAAAACCCAATCAAAGGATGGTTTTGCTGAGGAGATCGACTGGGAACCCGGAAGCCCGGGAACCCAAAACCCACCGAAATCGACCCGGAACCAATAACCAGGAACCCGGGAACCCAGAACCGGGAACCCGGGAACCCAGCCTGCTACCAGGATCGGCTGGAAACTTTCGCCAAATCTTTCAACTTCCACTAGGACCCCTTCGGTGCAAGCACTGATTGGGGAATAAACTAGGAAGTCCCCGCGGATTTCTTGGATCCGCGCTGGACCCCCCTCCCTGGCGCGCGGAGCGCGCCAGGGGCGGCGCCGGAGGCGCCGCCAGGGGGCCCCAGCGCCGTCCCGAGGAATCCGCGCGGACCTCCGAGTTTTATCTTTATGTCATTGTTCGTTCCTCTATCGAAGCCCACGAACTTCATATACAGACGTGTATGCTTTGCGCTGCTGATAAGGGTTCTCTTGGAGGCCAGAAGGGAGCTTCTCCGAACCCCCAGGTGAGACGGCCGCCCTCCGCCGCCCCTGCGTGGAAGGGAGCGGGTCCTACAAGAACGCGGGCTCTAGACCCCAGAAGCTTTCCCCAAGACCTCCTCCTCCTCCTCCTCCTCCTCTTCTCTTTTTTCTCCTCCTCCTCCTCCTCCTCCTCCTCCTCCTCCTCCTCCTCCTCCTCCTCCTCCTCCTCCTCCTCCTCCCCCGTCCATCTTTCCATCCCGAGTCTCTTTTCGACGGTCCCGTGGCCCGTTGAAGGCCCTGGGAGGCCAAAAACGGCGAAACAAACCATGTCCCCCTTTTCCCGGGAACCCACAAAGAACGTACGCGCCCAACCGCGTGCATGAATGCGGCCCCCCAGTCCGCGAGACAAGCCTCGTGATACGATCGTTCGCGCAATGCGTACTTCCGAAACCAGCGAGGATTCGTGCACGTGTGCGTCCTCCTTTCGCTCCTGACCTTGTGCGCTCCTGCTGTCCTTCGTTGCGAGCCCCGCCTCCTCCCGCCCCTCCTCTGGCTGCTCCCTATAGAGCTCACTGCACCGACCTTGAAGACGTGCTGCGGCGGATTTTTTGTGTCGATTTCTGCCCATGCAGAACCCCGAAACGGCGAGTGAAAAGCGAAGGGGATCTCGCGCGGCTTCTTCTTGGCCGTCGTTCCTGGCCAACACAAAAACAAAACCTGCGCGAAACTCGCCTCGAAGTCCGGAACGACACTCTCCAGGACACTCTCCGGGCGCATCCTCTCGTTTTCCGATGCTCCGAGGAGGAGGAGGAGGAGGAGGAGGAGGAGGAGGACGACGAGGAGGAGGGCACACTCCGAACGAACTCCGCTCTGCGATGTGGGCGCCAGGATCGAGGCCCTCTTTTGGTGTCGCGAAGCAGCCGCGATGTGGGCGCCTCCTGACGATGCCGGGCGTCCGCGAAAAGGGGGTCCCGCTCTGCAGGCCCGGAGGGCACCATCCTTCGAGCTGTCCCCCGACACGGCGCGCGCGCGCGTGCGCGAAGTGCCCCAGAGCTCCCAGTTGGATCGCCGCGGGGGTTTCTACGCGGGCTCCCGTTGCAGACATCCCACGGAAATTGGACCGTCAAGATCCAAGACGCGCTCGTCGAAAAGCGTCGGCTAACCCAAGTTCCAGCCTACTCGAGTCTTACGTTTCCCCGACAGGAGGTCTGCTTGGATTGCCGCGGGGGGTTCTACGTGGACATGGGGATACGAGTGGATGCTCAGGTGGGTCCTAGCCAGCCCAACCCAGCTCAGAAGCGGGTTGCACGTGCCCGGAATGGCTTACGGGCGCACAGATCTCGTCTAAGTGGCCGGAGCCCGCTTAGCGGAGTTACCTCATCATCGTAAGCCACATAGGGCACTTGTAACCCACCTATACGCTGGGTTTGGCCAGATAAAACCCACTTTAGCATCCACTTCTAACCCCCCCCATCCGCTTAGCAACCACCGCGGCGATCCAAGCAGCTCCGCCCCCCGGGACCGGACTGGCGCCGCATCGCGGGTGACACGTCGGGGCTCACGGGACGGGGGTCAATGGCAACGGGGGTCAGCATGGGTCAGCCAGGGCGCCTGATCTTGCAAAATCCTGCAGGGCCAGGGCTGCATTGACCCGGGCTTGCGCGCAAGATGCTGCAAAGCCCGACTGATCGGGGGCGGCCAAGAGGGGGGTGTCCAAGAGGGGGGGGTGCAAATCATGACCGGCGGCATGTGCGCGGCCCAGCGGGGGGGCCAGGGACGCCATGAAAGAAGAAGAGGCGCCATAAAATCCGAGGAAATATCATGGCCCCCGCCACGATATCCCCCCCCCCCTAGTCATCACCCCCCTCCTTGCCGCCCCCGAACTGACCTGGGCTGGCATGGGCCAGGAGCAGTCGATCACCGAACTCGCCTGACGGCCCCGGGGGCCCGAGCTCGGCCGCTCTCTGCGCCGTCTGCTCCTCGGCGGCGGTGCGCGCAGGCTCTCCCTCCCTGCCCCCGTCGGCCACGCGAGCGCAGCCCCACCCAGCCAGGAAGCCAGAGCAAACGAGAGCTGCTGCTGCCTCGGGCGTGGCCCAACGGGGAAGCAACAACTGGGTCGGGGCTGGGGGAGGAGGGACGAGAAACGTGCACCTTTCGTGCCCATTTTGGGGCCCCATGGGGGCTCTTTTAGAGCCCCCTTCGGGCCCAGACAGTGCACCTTGCTGCACTCTCCTACGACGAAGCCAAGACGAGGAAAACATCGGGTGAGGATACATCGAGAATCTCTGAGATCCAGCGCCTTTGGAAAATGTCTAGGGCGCCGCGGCCTTCTCAGAGCGTTCTGGACCAGAACGCTCTGGGACGAATTGATCCTTGTCCTAGCCCGGTCTGACCCCCCCGTTCTATCGCCCCCCATTGCGCAACGCCCGACTGCTGCTCCTGCCGTGAGGTCAGGGCGTCGCGAATCAATCAGGATCATAGCGTGGGAAGCCTGTGGGCCCCCAGAAGGCTCCAGAGATTGCCTGGCCCAGAACTTTAACGAACTTTGCTAAACGGCACAGGTGCGTCATATAGCTGGCTTGTTGCACACAGGATTCGTTGACCATTCGTCAGAAGTCACAGCTAATACCCCACAATTAGCTTGTGGTTCGTCTGCGGGAAGGGAAGGACAACTGGCTCCGCAAGGTCCAAGACGGACCCGCAAACGATACGAAACAGGTGCTGGCTGCCTGTTCGGTTTTCTTTCGGTTCGTTGAAGCCGAAACAATTATGCTTCGGTTCCAGCGAAAACGAAATGTGCCCGAACATAAGCCGCAACCGAAAGTAAACCGGCACACGCACGTGGTGCAAGTTGTGTGCCGGTTCGGATTAATGCGGGTAAACATGTTTATGCCGAAACTTACTCAGTTGACCGATCGAGGAAGATGAAGCCAACGTGCACGATATTGTTGCAACCGAATGATACGCATCATATCGATAATGTAGTCACTCCTCGGACAAGAAATAATTTCTCCCTGGGCACAAGATGGTAACTCCGGAATAGGAAATTGCTGAAAGGGAAAACATGCCCAGCGGGTTGCAAGCTACTTTATGGGTTGCCAGGCGTTGAGCACGTATTCCCGCCAGCCCTCTTGGCGTAGGTGATCTAGGGCGGTTTCTCTTCCAACCACCTTCTTCTCCTTCGGGGAGGGGTTTACCAATGTTCCTTATTCAAATACATCCCCTCGCTCAGGCGACTGGCGGCAAACTAGGAACCATGATCACCCCCAAAACCATCCCTGTCAAAAACAATACAAAACGCACTGTGCCTCCACATTTGGAGCGTGCGCGGCCAACCCGATGCGACCCCCTTCACCATCCCTGCCAACAGACAATTCAACGTACACTTTGGGCAACGTCTTGACTCATGCTCGTGAGGCCCGCCCGCGAGCACTTTGTATTGCTTTTGGCTGGGGCGGCGGGGGTGTCAGCACATTTCCTGCTGTGCGCAGGGCTACCACCCCTAAGAACAAAAACAAGACAGCATACACCTCGCTGCCCAATCTGGATCATGCGCGGCCGCTCCGCGATCACTGCCACATGGTTTTTGACAGGGACGGCGCGGGGGTGGGGTATGGCCTGCTGTGCGCAGGCCCACAGACACAATGATGGGCATAGGTTTTCGACAAGGATGGTGGGGGCCGACATGTTTCCCGATGTGTGCTGTCACGCGCGCAGGCGCACCTGACACAGTCTGCACGTGCCCCGAGCGTGGCGCACCTGGCGCGGCTGGAGTATGCGGCACACCTGGCGCACGCGGGGCACGTGGCGCATCTGGCGCACAAGCCGTGCCTGGCACGCTCGGGCCCCAGGGGTGCCTGGCGCGCTTGGCGCGCCTGGCACGCGTGGCGCACCTCGCCCCAACGTCGCGCACATAGGGTCGGTTTTGGTTCCCAGTAGCTGTCCATCCAAAGACGACCGCTGAACATGCTCAGGCTCGGGTGTTACTCATGTGTTGGGAAGGCGGGTGAGAGTGAGCTAGACGGCTTGCTATCCGGGGGGTGTCTTGATCACTGTTCCCTATTCGTATACACGCCCCTCCCCCAGGCGACTGGGAGCCAACCCGAGTCAATGAAGGCACCCACCCACCATCCCTTACACAAAAACAATACAAAGCACACTCTGCCTCCAAATTCGGATCATGCGCAACGAACCCGATGCGGCCTCCCCCACCATCCCTGACAACAAACAATACCAACTACACTTGGCGGCGGCGGCGGCTGCGGCGGCTGCGGCGGCTCCGGCGGCTGCGGCGGCTGCGGCGGTGGCGGCGGCGGTGGCGGCGGCGGCGGGGGCGGCGGCGGCGGCGTCGGCGGCGTCGGTGGCGGCGGCGGCGGCGGCAGCAGCTGCGGCAGCGGCTGCGGCTGCGGCGATTCGGCAGCGGGGGCGGCGGCGGCGGCGGCGGGCGGCGCGGTGGCGGCGGCGGCGGGCGGCGGCGGCGGTTGCGGAAGCGGCGGATTCGCCCCCAGTAGCTGCCCATCCGCAGACGACTGCTGAATCTGCTGCGGCTCGGGCTAGGCTCGGGTGTTGCGTATGTGTTGGGAGGGCGGGTGGGAGTGAGCGAGACGGCTTGCGGGCGGGGGGGGAGTCTTGATCACTGTTCCCTATTAGTAAACACCACCTCCCCCAGGCGACTGGGGGCCAACCCAGGTCCATGACGACACCCCCCACAATCCCTTGAAAAAAACAACACAAAACGCACTCTGCCTCCAAATTCGGAACATGCGCAGCCAACCCGATGCGCCCCCCCCACCATTCCTAGCAAAAAACAATACAGAGTACACTTGGCGGAGGCGGCGGCGGCTGCGGCGGCGGCGGCGGCTGCGGCGGCGGCGGCGGCGGCTGCTGCGGCGGCGGCGGCGGCGGCGGTGGCGGCGGTGGCGGCGGCGGTAGCGGTAGCGCGCGACGGCGGCGGCGGCGGCGGCGGCAGCGGCGGCGGCGGCGGCGGAGGCGGCGGTGGCGGCGGCGGAGTAGCCCCCAGTAGCTACCCATCCAAAGACGACTGCCGAGTATGCTGAGGCTCGGGTCAGACCCGAGTGCAACGTATGTGTTGGGAGGGCGGGTGGGAGTGAGCGGGACGGCTTGCGGGCGGGGGGGTCTTGACCCTCCCCCTACCCCCTTCCCTGGACCTGGAGGGGGGGGGTCGCGAGGCGTTGGAGCGTCCAAGATGGTCCAAGATGGCTCCAAGAGGGCCTCAGAGAGCCCAAGGTGACATCCAAGATGGCTCAAGATAGCCTATGATGGCTCCAAGTGGCTCCCAAGATGCTGCTGGAGGCCCCAAGACCGCTCCAAGACGGCTCTAAGTGGCCACGGAACCTCTCCAGGAGGCCACCAAGAGGCCAGAACTCTCATCGGAACAAATCAATGAATTTGGCCTTCTCGTCTTTTTTGCTTTCGATGGCCTTCCGAGGCCTCAAGGTGGCTCCAAGAGGGCCCATGAGGGCTCCAAGAGAGCCCCAAGGCGGCCCCAAACGCGCCCAAGAACGCTCCAAGAGGGGTCCAAGAGACGAGCTTAGGCACTCTAGAAGGGCAGGGCTGATTAAACACCCTCCCTCGTTCGACTTGTCTTTTTTAAGGTGGCTCCAAGAGCGCCCCAAAGGCTCCCAAGATGCCCCCAAAAGACTCCCCCAAAAACCCCAAGATGCCCCAATATGCTCCCCGAGGCACCCAGGACGCTCTGGGAGGCGCCCGGGGACCGCCAAGAGGCCCCCAAGACGCCACAATAGGCCCCCGAGCTCGCCATTGTCCTCTTCCTCTTCCTCTTCTTCTCCTCCTCCTCCTCATCCGCCTATTCCTCTTCCTCCCTCCTATCTCCTCCCCCTTCCCCTCCTCCTCCTCCTCCTCCTCCACCTCCGCCCCCTCCTTTCCCTCATCCCCCTCGTGCTTCTTCCCCACCTTTCATCATTCGGCAGGTCCGCGAAGGCGCATACGGTTCGCTCCTGGGTCTGCGCAGGCTGATCCAAGACTCCAATTTGACGGCGTCCCCAGCTCTTGATTCACCGCATGCTCCTCCGCTTCCCTGATCAAGGCAACTCGCCTGGGCATCGTTTCTGGATGGGCTGGTGGGGATACTTTTTGATTCGCGGCCCGCAAGGAGAAGTCCAGAGGGCGGTGTGGCCGAGGCTGGGACACAGCGACAGATAATTGGCGCGACACCTCGCAGAGTGCACCTGCAGATAATTAGAAAGAGGCGGCCACGGTTCAGTCCGCGGGTGGGGGCGAACCGAAAGCGGACCCACAACGCCGCTGAGCGCGTGCCAGCCGAAGAGGGCAACCGCGATGGGGGCAAGCCGGAGCCCTGCCGACGCTGGTGGGGATACGCGAAGAGTCAATCACTCAAACTTGATTGATATGTATGGCGAGGTCGCCGGAAGCCACTGGAAGCCCACAGATGGGCAACTGCATCCACAAACCTGAATCCTCGATCCCCCTCCTACTCCACCTCTTCTTCCTCCTCCTCTGAAGCGATCCCCCCCCTGGCCGCCTGCTGCTTGCCGCCGCCGACCCCGCCGATGTACTTGTCGCCGCTGGCGAACAGCACCACCGCGCGGCCCTCCTGGCAGCAGCCCAGGGGGAGGGCGATCGGATACGATCAGTTCGTGTCGTGCCGACCTGTGTCTTGGCCTACGACACCTCGTGGATCGCTCAACCTTGGCTTAGGTCGGGCATGTCCACCTGCAGGCAGATTTTGGACGAAAAAATAAAAATGGTCAAACAGTATTCAAGCATACGCAAAACATATCAGCCAGCGTTGAAGCGTTGACTCCAAATGGATAGGAGGACAGGAGGAGGACGAGAGGAGGATGGGAGGAGGACGAAAGGAGGACGGGAGCAGGACGGGAGGAGACAAATCAAGCAAGCGCAAGCAAGCGGAAGCAAGCAAGCGCAAGCGAGCAAAAACAAGCAAGCAAGAGCCAGCGATCAAGTGCAAGCAGGCAAGGGCAAGCAAGAGCAAGCAAGCGATAGCAAGCACGCAAGAGCAAGCAAGCTGCATAGGCATGTGCATAGGCGTAGGCAGAGGAGTCAGGGGGAGGCATAGGCATAGGCATCGGATTTTGGGGGGCATCGGAATTGGGGGGGGGGGCAACGTGCCAATTAGTAGAGTTCGAGTTTGAGATCCTATACGGCAAACCTAGTAGGATAGTAATAGAAAACTCGCTGCCAGACTATTTTTTGTTTTTTGTGTCATCTTTTTGAGTTTTCAGTCTTGGCCTCCGACGCTTCGTGGGTCGCTCGACCTTGCCACGATCGCGCGTGCCCAATCGCGCGGATCGATCGCCCGACGTCGGCCACAACTCCAGGCCCCTTGCGGCGCTCAAGCCTCGGACCGCCCGCGCGGAAGGCCGCCGCCGCTGCGACGCGGGGCGCACACCCTGGGGGAGCGGGATTTTTTGGGGGGGAATGGCGCCGAGGATCAGGTCGGGCATGTCCTCCCACAGGCGGATTTTGGACGAAACATGAAAAATAGTAAAAGCATGCTCGGAAATAGTCAAACATGGTGGAAAAATCGCCCCCAGAGTATTTTTAGACTATTTTTGAATTTTCGTTCTGTAAGGGGACATGCCAGACTTAAGCCGAGGGCGCCGATGGGGGGTTGCTACAGGTGCCCCTGGCCGAAGGTGCCCCCAGCTTTTCGCCCCGTTTTGGAGCCCCTGGACCTCGTGAGGGGTGCTCTGGAGGCCGTGGGGGCCTCCTTGGAAATCCTGGGAGCCACTTGGGCCATGGGGCACTTCTGGCAACACCCGAGCCGAGGACCGAGAACTTTCGGAACTCCGCGCAGATCTCTTGGGGCCCTCCCTGGCGCGCGGAGCGCGCCGGGGGCGGCGCCAGAGGCCCCGCTTGGGGGTCCGAGCGCAGATCCAAGAAACCCGCGCGGAGCTCGGGCAAACAATGTTGTGCGTTTCTTCGGCTCATGGAGGCATCCCGTCACCACGGCGGGACTTCCCCATGATCCATGTTTGCGATCGCCTGAATTTGGGAGGCCTCGCGGCCCCCATGGGCTCCCCCGACGAGGCGCAGCTGCTGGAGAGCACTCCGAGGCAGTAAAACTTAAAAAAACCAACGAAGACCCTAGCAAACTTGCGAACATCTGCCCCCATCTGGGATTGAGCAGGGACCGATCGTCCAGGCATTCCTATAGGCCTACCACGAAGTCCTCTTGAACCCCCAAGATGTTCTAATAACCAAAACAAGATCCTTAGAGCATAAGCCCGAGGTGTTAAACACAAGACAGTCGCAGCCAAAACTGTTCTAAGAACATCTCTTGCAGATCACAAAATGTTCCTAGAACATTCTCTGGTGGGCCTATATATAGGCCAGCCAGGACGCCTCGCCACTGCTTGATGGGAGACCTCGTGGCCCCCGTGGGCTCCCCCGAGGATCGACTACACGCAAGACCTGACCCTGGGTGAGAGTGACCTTTGGTGCCCGGCCTCGTAGGGGCCGCGGGGGGACCAAACGCGAGCGCGCAAGACGCTCCTACATCACCGAGCTCGGCGACCAGGGGGTCCCATTCGGCCCGCACCAAAGGTCACTCCGGAGGAGGAGGAGGAGGACGAGGAGGAGTGAGGAGGAGGAGGAGGAGGAGGAGGGAGGAGGAGGAGGGAGGCGGAGGAGAGGAGGAGGGAGGAAGGAGGAGGAGAGGAGGAGGAGGAGGAGGAGGAGGAGGAGGAGGAGGAGAGGCCCGAGAGAGCCGGCCCCGCCCCGCGGCCCCCCCCCCGGGCCGCTCCTGCTCCACCGCCTCCAGGGTGCGCGCCGGCGGCTCCCCCTCGAGCTCGCGCGTCGCGACGAACACGCGCTCGTCGCCGCCGCCGCCTCCGCCCGAGGGCGAGGGCCGAGGATCGCTACACCCTGCGAAATGCTCAAGAAATCATGGGTTGAGAAACTCAGAGTCTCAGAATTCGACTAAGAACCCAGGATGTCTGTTGAAATCTTAGGGTTTACACCGAAACATTAAGAATCATCGAGACTCTGGCCAAAAGCTTACGTTTTCTTACGCATCGCCTAGGGTGTAGGGGGAGCGAAGACTGGCATGAGCATAAAATCTCGGAGGTCTGGGGCCGGCGCCGAGGCGCCGCCCAGGGGGGTCCAGCGCGGGTCCGAGGAAGTCCGGCGCGGACCTCCGAGCTGTTAGTTGAGGGATGGAAAATAACGACCCAACTCCAGATTTCGTAATAAAGGGAGGGGGGTCTCATTTCGGGGGGGGTCTCTTCCAGGCTATCTTGGAGGGCCTGGGGGGGTCTGGGGACGA